TCTTTCCTTATAAATATATTATTAGAGTGCTATCCGTAATATTAATTGACCCAGCAGTCTATGCTGAGCTACAATTTAGTCTTCGGTAATTTATCTATTTCGAATACTATTGGGGGTTCCAACAAAATGAATAAGTGGTGAGTAACAGCCAAAATCATAAAATATAACAGTGTTCATCAATTAAATAGTCAAATAACGATATATTATACCAAAATCATAGTGAATGTTAAAAGTAATACATGATTTAGCAGTAAACATGACCATTAGGAATGTAATTACAACTCTGTCCGGCCACTGAATAAGAATGTATGGTTCAGAATCTCAACTTTAGTCTACGGGCGTTGTGTGATTCAATCTTCGATCCTCGTCGTTAGTGAATTACTGTCCCACTTCTGAATTGGTTTTGTCCCATAGTTCATTGCTTTCCACCAAACTCCAACAAAACCTCGAAACCAATCACTACCAGTCATACGATTATCATTTACCAAAGTATCTTGTATAGAGATTCATATAATTTTAGGATATCCTTTTGTTATGATTAAGTTGGATTGAAATCTTGATTCACTAATCAGAATTCAACTCATTACTTCTCACTGACTAACGTTCTGTGCTTTGAATGACAGCGAATTATCTTGAGTTGTGACCGAGATAGTCGTCGATGTGGCTTTCTCTCCTTACCCCCTCATATTTAGTCCGATAAGAGAACACAACAAGTCGACAAGATCTATATTGTATGATTATCATTACGACTCAAACCTCACAATAATATAAAGTAAATTTCTGACAATGTAAACATAAATGGAGAAAATACAATGTGTTCATGACCACGCCATAAGTGAAATATGCACTGAGTGAGGTGTCCGTTATTAACTAAAAACAACTTAAGAAAAGTAAAACACAACAATAGTTAATGAACCAGACGAAAAGGTTACAGACAGGAGAATATAAGAATGCTATAATCCGTGTCAAATAGTTATATAAAATATTATCAATAGTTGCACGTAAGGTAATCACAAAAGTTACTATCGGATTCAAGTTTAACACGAGGTCTGAATCTTCTCAGCTCAATCTCATGTATTATTATAAGTGTGCACTAGTGAGGGGTCCAAAAATGGGACCAAGCAACTCTACGGTGCTCCAGTTTATATACCAGTTTGTGACGATGATCATCGTGCAAATCTCATAAAACATTTTTAAAAAAAAACTTGATTATTGTTGTTGTGGATGCGAAGGATAGACCACTAATTATCATGTTAAGTCCAATGGTTTACTTGGACTTTAAATGGACATTTCCTACTGATCGATATCTGTCCGCTTGTTGAATATTGTACAAAATGTTGTTTTCTACTTTTATGGTACGATGTGGTATATTTGGTTAGTATATAAATAGAGTATGTCTGAAATACAATGATTCATAACTCAGAGGCTGAGATTTGTGTTCTGGACTCAACTGGCTGGGATAGACAGGGAATCGGGACCAATCGTAACTCTAGGTCGTCCATTACGTTCGTACGTGTCATTGAATCGGTCAATAAATACGCTGCTCTCTAGTTTTTCAGTCAAGGACACAACAATTAGCACAGGGTAAAAATCAACCATCAACTTAAAGTCATAACAATTGTTAGCATAGAAAAGACGATACGATCGTACTTTTCCGCACAAAAAATAGGTAGTCATTCGGAATGATGTACATATATGCCTCCAGTATTAGATTACACAGTAATAGCTAGTATATATTCTTTATTCCTTATGAAGCTACACTTGACAAAACAGTTACTACCAAATACCAGAAATCTGAGTGTGAAAGTTCTATATTTTCATAAAGACGATTGAATGGAATGAACAGCAAGACGAATATGAAATCACGAAAAGGTATATACCTACTTAGAGATTCGGACCGTCATCATTCTGTAACGTATTCAGAGATACCACTTACTGGGTAATATCAAATATCACGCTATTCATTCCTTAGTTCTAACTAAACTCTGTTGTTGAGTTAGCAGCAACGTCCGTAATTCTATTGCTTTGGAAAACGAATCACAGGCAGTAAGTCTGAACTGTGGAATAGACCAAATAGTGTTGACTTCTGTTTAGAAAAATAAAGATGAACTACGTCCAAATCTAAGTTTCGCTGTGGCGAAGTCGCTAAAGCAGTAAGCCTTTAATTATCCGATCAAATGAATAAACCTCGTCACGCCTTCCTCGGTTTCGAAAGCCGAGTAGTCGTGTCACGCGATAAACGTGTGATCCAGAGATGATTGCAAAAGACTGTACTTAGTCACATGAGTTATTTGCTTAAAAATACATTGTTTGAAGTGCAGCGGTATATCATGTTCCATAATTAAGTAATCACTTACCTTACCGAGTAATAGTTTTATGTAATTTAGTTAACACTGAGGTTTATATATCAGGACATTCAGTCAGCTACAACGTACGACCAGGCACATATATACATCGGTCCAAGATGAACACCGAATTCATAGTGGTTAATTCAATGGTGGTAATATATAAAAGAAAGACATTAGTTATTCTAAAACCAACCTACTTAGCATTTCTAACTATTATGTCAGAACTCTGTCTTTTCTCTTCCTTAGATCTCACTTTGAATCCTCTGAGAGCAGACATACATGTGAAACGATCAGACAAGATTGATTAGATCAATGCTACTTCTTTTCCCTTCAATGACACCATATAGTTTTCGTGATAATAATACACGAACTACGTGCTGTTTTGTAAGTCTTCCTACAAATATACGTTCCCGCGAATGGAAACCTTTATCCCTTTGTTTTCTTTGATATTTGTACAAATTATTTTAATGCTACGTATTACTACTTAGTTATATATATGCCTTTAAGCAGATAGTTATTTTATACAGTACCTTGACCTCTGTGGTGCGTTGTCCTTTTGAACGTAATGATTTAAACTTATAAAATTTTATATCTCAATTTTTATTCTTGCAGCATTTCTTTCGATTTATTCGAGAAAACTTCATCTGTCTGTCCCGATTGTACTGTTTTAAGCTATTGAATGCTCCTCCTGAATATGTGTGTATACAGGTACTTATCCCTTTATATATCGACTGCATAATATCGTATACATATGCCTCACCAGTGTTATTATTGTTTGCTTGTTGAATACTGTAAACAGATTAATTTACTTTTCATTTTATCACCTTAACCTTTGTTCCTTTTACATCAATAAATAAAGCATCTTATTGTTGTTAGCAGTTATGTTGCAAATTTCCTTTTTATTGTGGTTGGTTGGTTTGCATTGACATAGATATTTGAGACTAGTTTGAATTACCAACTTTTGCTACCAGGTTGATAGATAAGTTTGAACAATTATTAATGATTTGGGATATTATTCAGTTTTTGAATAAAAATCGAATATTAGACGTAACTACCAGTTATTTCATATAGACGGAGTGAACCTTAGTGAGCGTGGAGTTTTGGTAAAACCACCCAGAACTAGAAGTCAGTAAAAACACTAGTACTATTTTTCACTGGATTTTACACTAATTATTCTTCTCTGCAACTAAGCAAATATTTGACATAAAAGTTTATCTCCAGTCTTATCGTTAAGGATAGAAGGTCACTAATTAACTTCGGGAATTCAGCGAGGTACGCACTAGTCAGTACATAGTTCAACCGTGAAATGTTTGTTGCAACTCAAATAGTTGGACTTATTGTTGGTCCTCGGTAGATAAGTATACTACTCAAACATGCTGAAAATATGACACCCTAGCAACACCATGAGGCTTTTGTTAATAATCCATTGGAATATTCTGAATTATGGTACCTTCAGAGCCCTAATTGCTCCACCACTCAAAAGCAGATCCGCGAGGTTTTTGCATAATACAAATCATCCCAAATGAATCGAAATATCATAAAACGTATCCTTGTAAACAAAATGCTACTGAAAGTCAAACAGAAAAGGACCTAGATGTGTGAGTAGACAAAATAAGGATGTGTAGTGGTTTTCTTCACGGATTGATATTAGCAGAGACACAATTGAGAAACGGCGGGACAAGTGTTTCTTACTTGTGTGGGTTCTTAGTGAAGGGGACACATGACTATCCAAGGACTGAACTCAAGTTTTTCAGACCCCGAAGGGAGCACTTAAACTTCAGAAAACTGGCTCATATTTCCAACTTGGATTAATTCTTAATATTACGTGCTAGATAGGTTTTGTTGGTGTTCTAAGGAGTGAGATACTAGGAATATAAGTTCTGGGAGATTGAAATCAACTTACTATGTGCGATCTAGAAATTCGAAATGGCGATGGAATGAAAAGCCTTGTCTGACTAATACTAATCGAATTACTGGAGAATGCTTCATTTCCCAAGATTTGATATAGTGTGATGGTCATCCGACACTGTAATAACTGTACAAAGATGTTTTTATGAGGTCTAATGATGGTGTTTGGTCTTCTGTCACGGAGTTCTGCCGTGCATCTTACCTTCAAATCGAGATATCATTTCATTGAAAGAAACAGTAATTCAACATATGAGGCACACCCATCATCCACTAATAATAATAAAATGTATTTCGATAGCAGTATCACATGTCTATCTACTGAACTTAAATACCATATCCGTCGGCAAATAAGAGGTGTACAGTAATAACTGGAATTAATCTAGAGCGGGGAATATTCAAATAAAAGTTAGGCCAACATATAAAAAATCTGTATCATGATTCATTCATATCCTCTTATCAATTATTTATACATTCCAGTTATGGTGTACATATATATAATCATATGAACAAATAGAAATCAGGTTAGCGAAAAACAAAGATATTAGTTTGACACAACGAATTGTTCAATTCTTTTTCTTAATGTGTATCACAAAGCTCATTCTTGATGGTTTTATCTTAATTAGAAATCAAATGGAAAAACTTACAAGGGGAAATATAAAAAACAGAATATAACACAAGTGCACATAAATTGAAGTTGAGTAAAGGGACTAAAGTAGATTTTCATATCATTGATTGTTATGATGTTTATGACTGTAGGGCGCTCAGATCTGCTCGATAAAAATGACAATTACTGGTGCTGCTATTATCACCACCACTGCTACTACCATTATTGTTGTTTCCGGATGGATGATAAGGAGTACAGTCATAATACGGCCTAAAACATTCATCAGGATCAAAAATTGCTGATCGACAAGAGTTTATGTCAGATCCTACCGACGGATAAGTAGATACTAGAATAGGATTAATATGGCTTTTTGACGATCCGGTTAGCTCGTAACTAGAATTCGATGTACAAAACTCAGCTGAATAATTGGTCATTTGATTAGTCAGTAAAGAATTACTATTCCTACAGCTGACGTTCAGATTAGAAGAGAATGGATTTTGTACAGTACACAACGGCTCATTACGATACAAATTATCATGCTTATTGACAAGAAGTAAGTGCTTGGGTTCGCCATAAGAAGTAGATTGTTTCAACCAGTAAGAATCTCTTGGTTGTGCAGCTGGTAAGTTATAACCAGCAATACGACTTAATGTCTGCTGCTTAATATCGAATGACACGTCATCACGACTCCAATATTGTTTCTCTTGAGCACTGTTATAGATAGATGGGGTATCACCTGAATATATTTTATCACACGGGGTATATTTTGTTTGTGTTCTCATTTGGTGCTTGCTTTGAAGAACATTATTATCTCCATCCCATATTTCCCACAAGCAATCATCAAGTATGCTTGGTTCATAATTTAAACTTGGTTCTGTATATGTCGGTGGTGGAAATATCGGTTCTTTGGAATTACACACAGAAGGATCATCAATAGTCGCCGGTGTACCGAAATTATTCCATGTTTCTTCAGGTAAACATTGGTTCACAAAGTCTGTATGCCTGGACAACGAATGGTGATGTATGGCGTTCAATTGCTCGACAGTTGACTGCATAGCATATGACTTGGCAGAAAAACGTGCAGATTTCGCTAACTGAAAAATGAACAAAAAATTTTGAAATGATTTACCTGTGGATGTGTTGTCCGAGGTTTTGTAATCCTTTTAGTTCTTTTCACACTTTTATCTGGAGCCTTTAAATGAGCCAACAAAGATTTCATCAATTCATTGTTTTGACTGATATAGTTACTAACAGCTTCACAATGTCGAATCGATGCAAGTTTATGATGAGATTGAAGATTTGATATACGTTGTTGGAAACGATAAACCTGTGCTGAAGCCATGTAAGCTTTGGAATATTCAAAATAGATTAACCAAATTAACAGTTTTAGAAGTCTGGAAATTCAGAGAATAAACATTTCAGACAAGTCAATATGTTATAAAGAACATGAGATTTAATATGTGAAACTTACTGCTGTAGTAATGAACATACACTTCAAGTTACATGAACCAAATCTACACAGATCCGTATTTATTTATTTATTTCAACACATAGATAATGGTACAAAGAGGCACCAAATACATATGCGCCACACAAATCTCATTCGATATGTGTGAGGGCTGTGATACTGCCCGGGTGCCCAAACCGAAACAGGTGGTTTTCTTAGGGGGTCACACCCGGAGCCTTCGACCTGAAGGTCTGACCCACAAGGCAGTGGAGCATCGTAAGGAGATGCAGTCCCATGGAAGCCGGTGATCAACAATTGGTTCATTCGCCATTTGTTCCCGCAGGATACTGGAGCCCATGTGCGCCATTGGTTTGGAATCCGGTTAAATCGCCGGACATTCGCTTTTCGTCCTCTCATTTTCGTAAACAACACCCCCGCCACGAGAAGGCAGTGAGTAGAACTTCCATGGAAGAGGCTATATACGCGTGGCCGTGTGAGAGTATTTCGAGAGGGAGAGCGGACTCTCCCTACTCTCAGCCGTACCAGGGTATTTGATTACAGAATTGTCTTTAATGCTGGAAACTCTGAGCTAAACTACAACATGTATAGTGTATTGTATACATGCACGTTAGTTTACCTAAAACAAAAAATTATTGGAATGGCTAGTGACTACGTCTTCGATGTTAATTCATTCAATAGTTTGTGTTAATCTGGTCATGTGAGTAGTAATCCTTCTGCCATATTATTTACCGCATCTTGTCTGTCGATTAATATTTCATCTATTTATTTTAACATTCAAATTATAACCCAGATCAATCATTTAATTTATCAATAATTAACTAATGGTATCAGTATCATGACCAGTCAAGTGTGAGTGTATTTATAAGCATTTCTCTGAAAGTTGTTGCTCCAGGACTGGTCTGCGTCAACACCCGAACTAAGGACATGTAGTACAGTAGTCGAACGCGTCGACTTCACTTATCTTGGAAGTCTGATCAGCCCTAATGGGCTGGTATCGGACGAAATCTCAGCACGGATTCAAAAATCTCATTTAGCTTTTGCCAAATACGTCACCTTTGGCGAAGGCGAGACATCCGTCTATCATTTAGGGGACGAGTAAACTACGCAGCATTTCGTTCTGTTCTAATTTACGGCTGTGAATTGTGGCCATTAAGAGTTTAAGATATTCGTAAGCTACTAGTATTTAACCACAGATGTCTTAGAAATATTGCTCGCATCTGCTGGGATCATTGGGTAAGTAAAAGTGAGGTTAGACGCAGGGTATTAGGGAATCATAGTGAATCAGTTGGAGTTGTAAATTTTCATCAATTGAGATGGTTGAGTCACGTGTTACGTATGCCTGAACACCGACTACCTCACGCGCAATGTTGTGACTAATGTTGAGGATGGTTGAGAGAAAGTTAGGGGTGGCCAAACCAAAACGTGTCATCAGTCCTTGAAGTTGCTAACTTCTAGTCTTAGCCATATTTGTAGATGCAGACTACCTGGTTGGGGTCCGCGTAACTATCGTAACCAATAGTTGGAGACTCTGGGTGACAGCTCAGTATCGATCACAATGGCGTAGTTGTATACACTCTTTATCTTCCCTAAAACTATAAGATTAAAATTGCTGTATGTCTTTCCTTCAACCAACTAATTCTTCCTTCCTGCATCATATCCTTATACGTAATCTTTCTTTTATATATTACTATTATTGAAGTACGTTTTAAATTTCGTGTTCATCTTGTTGTGCTAACAAGGTGTGGCAACTCGGACCAATGCATATATGTACCGATTTGTGGGGCATATCTATTTGGCGCGTTCTTGTACCAATGTGTTTAAATAAAATAATATAAATATATGTGCCTGGTCCTACGTTGTAACTGACTGAAATGGTCACTGATAGTATATAGTCAAATGAATGTACAGTCGATAATAATTTATAGTACTTTGATTTGACCATTACTATCAGTGACTATTTCAATGACCTAGTTAATGGGCCAATCGAACCCTATCACTTTTCTTTGAGTACTTTATAGTAGTGAGTGAGAATGTGAATGAATCTTTAAAACAAAGTTTACAGCAGACCTCATCAGGTAGATTTTTCATATTCAAAGTTGGTGAACAACCAAGCAAAAAGCAATATCCCTTCAGATATAGCAACACACGCTGATTATTCTGGCAAAAACCTGGATTCGAAACACTAATTAATATAAAAATCAGGAGTGTAAACCGCGGAGTGATTTTCATTTACTCAGGATATAAATACTAAAGAACATATGAAGCCGGAAGTTGGAGGCAGACGTCAGGAGCGCGACCAGCATTTGACAACAACTGGAAAGAATGGTCCGGGACATAGTTGGGCGGAGATCCTTGGTTGGAGACTTGTGGCCCGTGAGGTGTGGCATGAACCAGTAGTGATTAACAATCACATCACAATCACGGTAAGGAAATGGATATCTAACTGTTATTCTACATGAGTTACAAATGACGAAATGTCTAACAGAAACAAAAACCCAGTCCTACATGTTTTGAAAGGTGGATTTATTACTGTTTTCAACGGATTAAAAAATAAACTACAGAGAGCAAGACATAATTTACATAAAAGAGAGTCAAAGAACTATACAATTGTATGCGTGATGCTTTTTCATACGTTTCTTAGTACATACCCTACATTTGATTCTACTTGGTCATTTTATTTAAATATTCCTAACAGGTAACTTTATTCAGCATAACATGACTTCCATATGAGTCGCAAGTCTAAAAAATATATTTTTATTGTTATATTCATTTTCCTGCCAATATTTAGACGTGACTAACAAGCTTATTTACGTCCACCTGAGTACAAATAAACTTGTTCCACTCATGATACGCTCTAAACCACTTTGTAGGAGCAGATGCAAAAACTTAAAATAATATAGAATGTTCCACAACTTTGTGGTTTTCATGAGTTAAAGTCTATTCGAACTAGACTGCTTCCGCTTACCTATCATATAATTGGTCCTCTGAAACTGCTGACCAAGTAAAACAAGCCGGACTTCTCAGTATCAATCTAATACCACCGATAATCGATACATAGACATTGTTAGTGAGTAGTCTGTCGGTCTAAAGAACTTGGCAGTTCGTACACTGTCTAGCCTGAAAGCGCTTTAGATGTTAAGGAAGTGTTAATGAAGAGAGCTGGAAAAATCAATAGATATGAACCGACAGCTTAGTAAGCACGTTGGATGCACTTACGTTCAATAATAAAGGCTATTGAAAACAAACAGTGATAGTTACCAACTAAGACAACTGCACATCCACAATAACAAAACCCAACATGAGATCTCGAACCCGTTACACAATATAACTCAAAAAGACCGCGTTTCCTTATCCAACATCTTTGTCACAAGTTTGTATAAATCGATTGCTCTCTTTGTCGTCTCTTTGGAGTCGTCTAATGTGGTTAGTGTAGTCATTCTGTTGTACTAATGCAAACTGATTTGATAGCAAAATACTAGTGGCATACAGGTTTTTCACACCGAGTCATCAATTCTTGGAACCTGTTACCCGAAGCATTGGTGTCCGCACCTTCGATTAACTCATTCAATAGAAGACTAGACACTTACAGAAGCATACTAGAAACGGAATAACATAAGCCATGAGACTTCTACCTTTACTACACAAATCTGAATCTCAATTGAGTTTTAATTTTTGCCATAAGTTAGTGCCTTTGTTTTAGGGTGACGGAGTTGTTAAAACCAGTAGTCATCACATTATGGAACAAAATATTAGTCGGTTGCATTATGAAAAAAAATAAAACTAAATTTTTGGATCCAGATGAGCAAAGATAAGCTAACAGACAGAATGAGTAAATGAATAGTTCAAACAAATAGTGCGAACAGGAAAACATCTAGGGGTAACAAAAAGACGGGATGATGCTAGTAGGAATGGGTTAGTAATGATAGCAAAAGCTACGACGATGTTACGAGACATGCACCAGGTACAGTTGTTCCATACTGCTATCAACCAATCAGTCAGTTACAACGAAGAACCTGGGACGTATGAACATTCGTTCATATACCTATACCCTATTAGCACAGAAAGGTGAAATTCTCAAACCAAATCTCAGAATAGTAGAGAAAGTGACAGTGTGAGTGATGAGCGAATAAACTAGAGACCGTAGATACATTTCGAGAAAATATCAATTGGGGAAATAAGAAAATTAGCAGGAAATAAGCAGTTCATAATTTGGGAGAAGAAAAGGTTAGATTCGCCTGCACCAGTGCAAATGATTTTCATCCATGTCATTAGAAGTCTCTAACCACTGGTTACGGTAATCACGCAAATCCAACCAGGTAGTTTGCACCTATTAATATAGCTCATTTCAGCTGTCACTGACTTCATGGACTGTTACCATGTTTTGGGTTGGCTACCCCTAGCTTTCATCCAGCCCGCTCCTGCGCTAGAAAATATCGCTCTCTGGGGTAGGTAGTGGATAGACATACTTAACACATGTCCTAATCACCTCATTTAATGAAGTTTTACTATCCTTTACATCATACTCCGTTTCTTATCCGAACATCGGTTACTCTGCAGTCCCAAAACACACGAAAGATGCGTCGAAGACACTTTTGATTGAATACGAGTAATCTACGAATTTCCTCTATTCTTAATGAACGTGTTTCACATTCACAAGGTAGAAAGAAGCGAACTGCTGGGCAGCAAACTTGAAGAATTACGGTCTAATATGGTATAATTACTGCTCTAATAATAGGCGTGTTTATAAGCACAGAACAAGAATAAACGACTATGTGTGTATCGTCAAATTAGTAACAAAAAATAACTTATCATTGTAGTAAGATATGACGCTAGAATAAATGTTTGTGCAGTTATAGTTTGGAGTGATGTTATGAAAGTCACAATTAAGTGAAAAGGATAATAAAATATCACTATGTATGAGTCATATATGCATAGTGAAGATAAAACCAATCTGAGAAGTTAATTTAAACGTAACACAAGTTATTGTCTTATTTACAAACTTCTTAATCTTAAGAATAAGATTTATTTAGAAGGGAAGAAGAGAGAGAAAAGAAGTGAACACCTAGTGAAAAGTTTCATCCATGATAAGAATAATAATTTTGTAGTGAATATCAACATCAGAAGGAAATCAGCAATTGAAAAAAAATCCTTCGGTGCACTCGGATGAATACATTTAGATTTATGTAATAGTATACAAAATGAAATCGGATATTAGTATAAATATTTGTGCAATAATGATGAAGATTGATGCTATGAAAGTCAACATTGATTTCAAAGGACAATCTGGAGTTAAATATGTTTAGAAGGATAAGAAGAGATTAAAAGAATGCCTAATGTGTCGGGGAACTAATAATGATATTAATAACGGTAATAATGATGAACACCAACATAAGCAGACTTCATATATTAAGATAAAGGGAAATAAAACAAAATAGACGTGAAAAGATTTAAAGTTTTTATTTTCCTTTTCGTAAGGTCTTATAGATTAGGCAGTTATATCATGACAAACCTACAATTTTAGGATTAGGTCTATTATTAGAGCAGTACTATTATCATAGTAGACCATAATTCTACACATTCATCGGTTCGCTAAACATCTGTAAAAACTGCACTCACGCAGAGTATGTTCAATTCGTCTTAATTTACTTGTAAACCACATGGACGTCTCAATATCCGCCACCCAAATCAGATATTTCAGAACTAGGTAAACAATTAACAAATGAAATATATTATTCAGTGGCAAATTATTTCATTATGTGGTCCTAATCTCCCGAATTTGACGAGGTTCTGCGGAATTTTGTGGTTTTAATCAGAGTCGCGAGAAAATCTGTAGTTTTCTTTAGAGTCTGGATAAAAACCCTACACGGATAGGAACGTGGTTGATTCCCCGAACTCCGGTAGAAATACAGGGGGAAAACTTCAAAAGTGATGTTGCACAGTTGTGCGAACATTAATTTCCTGTGTACGAAACCGTTTGAGCTTTTTAAGATATGATTGCAATTAAGGACGTCGTTTTTCTAAACGAAAGTGAAATTAATTACATATTCCATCGTACAAGCTTTGCCCTTGTCTCAATAGGTCACATATGCACGAGACAACGAAAAATTCATTCCACATCGCTTTTTCAAGACACGTACGTCATACAGATGGACATGAAAGAAAAGTCATCGGCTTGCAAACGTAACTGCGCTTTCTTCTTCACGGCCTTGTACAGTTTGAAAGAAAGTGGATATTCCAGATTTAAAGTTCTTGAGGTCGGTTGTGTGTGTGCATGCTAGCATGGTTCTCGGGTGTTCGAGTAAGTTTGTTGTACGTTCTATAATAGCCAGGTCAGCTAATAATCTGACCGAAAATCACCACACATTAATCTACAGATCTATGATCTTTGTAAACCATCGTCCTGTTCAAAGTTATAGAGATGACTGACAATCAGTTAATTTGAACCTGTTGTTTTCCTCCGTTAATGTCAATGATACCTTCCGCACTATTGTGAATAAAATTGCTTTTTAATTATGATTTTTTTGTTTTCTAGTAACGCAGTACCATTCTTCGTGCTTCTTGTCCAAGAAATATTTCAGTCGACTCGACTGATGTGCTGAGGCGTACTATATTGGGTAGAAGGTTTATGAGTTGAGTGGAATTCGGAACAACTTGGAATGAATTCCAGTACGTAAGAGAAACATGTTGTATGCACATTAGATCAAAAACATGAACCACAAATTCTACGAATGATTGATAAACCATGGAGACCGTTAATGTGAAGTGGCATTTTAGGTCTAAATTTGTAGATTGCGAGTCAGTGCTCGGCGTGATTCTACAACAGAATGAGTATGTGAAAACGTCACGCCGGATTGTAAATAATCATCGTTGTGAAGGTTCGTGGATGATTTATGTTCCGTAGGAGAGGTGAATGGTTTCAGAGGATAAGGAAAATATCAAGCCGGTGCTAATCTAATGATCTTCCTTAGATCAGGTGGTCACGTGTGTTAGAAAGCAGAGGTGCCTTGAAGTTGCTGCAACTGATTTGAAGACAGTGAAAGCACAAATGTGCATAGTTAAGTGTGTACACTTCTATTTTTAAGCTGTAGTACCAGATTGAAGTCTTTAGTTTGCTAAGACGAAGAGGTGAACTGAGGAAACTTTCTTTAGAAGACGGACTCGTAACTGAACTTTGTTTTGGTAGCTACGATCAGGTTGCTTTTGGCAAACAATATCTAGAAATTGTTAGTATGGATAAGATCACCGACAGATTTGATGGTACTTGTGTAGTGACTATTGAACGGAGAGTCACCAGTTGTTATTAGCTAGTCAAAAAACCTAATTAAGAAATCTATTTCACATTCTCAGTACTGTAAGTTGTCATTAGTAACTTCCTCATGTAACCGTTTGTCCTATTTAATATCACGTTATATTTTATTCACAATTATGAGCCTATTGTTTATACGGAATAGTTTAGTTATAAAACATAAGAGCGAATAAGAACAATGAGAATAAATAACTGTTTCAAATGTCATCGCAACTGCAGAAAAGTAGACCAGTACTTCTCCCCGCACGTAGGTACAGGCGGTCCGTTTAAAGTAGATTACTGAAAAGGCTTTGTTAGTTAATGGGTACTATGGAAATAAAAGTATGTGTATCCGAGCACTTCGTTAATTTCATGTTGGTTTAGAAACAAGTGACTGATAACAATGGACATAGTCATATTAAAATATTGGGATCACGAAACGTACGTACAGTAAATATAAAATTTAGTTGTCCTCCGTTTGTACATAGCTATCCAATAAGCCCTCCTATTCACACCACTTATCGGCTATGCTTATTAGTCAAAATTAATGACTAACAATATCTCAGCTGAACGTAAAGTTGATATAGAGCATCAAATTAAATCTTGTCTTTATCTACCGGCTCATTAACGGTATTTCCTACTCATCGGTATCCACCCCTTCATACCTTATAATATCATCCCACAATC